ATCTATCTATCTATCTATCTAATCTATCTATCTAATCTATCTATCTAATCTATCTATCTAATCTATCTATCTAATCTATCTATCTAATCTATCTATCTTATCTATCTATCTAATCTATCTATCTAATCTATCTATCTAATCTATCTATCTAATCTATCTATCTAATCTATCTATCTAATCTATCTATCTAATCTATCTATCTAATCTATCTATCTTATCTATCTATCTAATCTATCAATCTAATCTATCTATCTAATCTATCTATCTAATCTATCTATCTAATCTATCTATCTAATCTATCTATCTAATCTATTTATCTAATCTATCTATCTAATCTATCTATCTAATCTATCTATCTATCTAATCTATCTATCTAATCTATCTATCTAATCTAACTATCTAATCTATCTATCTAATCTATCTATCTAATCTATCTATCTAATCTATCTATCTAATCTATCTATCTAATCTATCTATCTAATCTATCTATCTAATCTATCTATCTAATCTATCTATCTAATCTATCTATCTAATCTATCTATGTAATCTATCTATGTAATCATCAAGTTCCCCTTTCAGACCATCCCATCTATAAAGCATAATGTCATCTGTTTCTAGGGTGTCATGTGGCCAGCACAAACGACCAACCGCCTTTACATTCCCCAACTAAAGTCAGATACCCATTAGAGTTGGTTGAACCCAGGGGCGCCTTAAAAATGTCGATATTCAAAATCCCAGTCTTCACGGAGATTTGAACCCAACCCAGGACCCCAGATTCGGAAGCTGAGCGCTTAACCACTCAGCCACCGCGCCCCCCTATCTATGAAACCTATATTACCTTGTTTTACATTATATTATCCTCTGTAACGTTTAAACATATGCTATTGTTTTCTGTCTTTTTTGCGTTCTTTCTATCATGTTGAGAGCTAAGATATAGTCCAAGTCTATAATCCAATATCTGAGATGAACTTCGCAGCCATTTCCATATCAGGCAGTTTTCTATTTAGTACAAAATACACGAATTAGAAAAGACTCTATCAGGCTACGTCGTCCATGTAGCCACCTGTGATGAAGTCGTTTATGGGTTAATACGACCGAACGTTCGATAAAGTATTTGTCTCATCGGGCAGACGTGAACAATGAGCTCATTACGCCCCGTTCTGTCCTAAGGTTCCCCAGTGAAATGTAGGACTGTGCCACTAGCTATTATGCCTTTGTTTTTCAGATTGTACAGTAGAAGACTTTCAACAGATTGCTGGACAGTGGACAGATCAAGATGATGACAGTGAAGATGAAGCCATCCCCGGAAATCAGAAGGTCAACTCACCCGTCTACAAGGTCATCACATCGATGGCTCATCCAGACTTTGCCATGTATGAGACCAGGCTTAACACTTTCCGTACCTGGGCTCACAAGGAGGTCATATCCCCCGAGAAACTAGCGTTATCAGGATTTCACTTTGCAAGTAAATAGACTTTTTTGCCACCTGTCTTATATTTTTACCTTCTTTTACCGTAAAATAAAAATGGAAACAATCTTGGGAATCTGTTTTGTAAGGCTGACTGCCTGGTCGTGTGGTATACGCTTCGGACTGTCAACACAATAGCGTCCAGTTCTAACCCTGTCCAATCCACTTCCCTACTTCAAGACGTCTGCTGACGTAATACTTCAGTTCTGAAGAAATTTGAGAAAAAACAAACAAACAAAGGAATTTAAAAAAAAAAAAAGATTATCTCCCCTTATTGAATTATATTGTATTGGTTGAAAGAGAACACAATAACCATGCATATATTTGACCCTGACAGTAACTAAAACAAAGGACGTTAGGGCCACGAGGCCTTTATCAGCTACTAAACAAACAAACAAAAAGACAATTAACTCTAAATAGGCTTAAGGCTATAGTGTTTTGAATACTTACATAATTATTATTAACAAGAATTAGGGTCTGATGATTAAAACCATAAGTACTGGGTTCAGATCCTTCATTTGCATGTTTCCATTGCTAACAGTTTTATATTTATTGTTTTCCTATTCTATAGTAAGGTCGAATTGTTTATTCTCTTGTTACTTGTAGTTTTTAAAATAAAGGCACCACTAATATCTCCAAAAGATAATCATTAGATAAAGAAATATACATTATATAATATAAATATATATATATATATATAAGTTACAGAAGTAGCGTTGTATTAAAGCCTTTTTTATCTGCCAAGTCCTTGATTTTCCTGGCTGATTCAGGCAACCCATTCCATGCTCTAATAGTATAGGAAAGAAGGAGCGTTTCTACAAATGTATTATTTATATATGTATACGTTTTATTAATCTCCAGGTAAATCCGATTGCGTCATTTGTTTTCAGTGTGGTCTAAGGTTACGTGCTTGGAAGCAGGGAGATGACGTCATGGCTGAACATAAGAAGTACAGTCCATCTTGTCCATATCTTGCAACAGTGGCCAATAGGCATCAAGAAATGTGGGCAGGGTCAGGTGAAGAAACAGGTAGATCTCTCTCTCTCCCTCTCTCTCTATCTATCTATCTATCTATCTGTCTGTCTGTCTGTCTGTCTATCTGTCTATCTATCTATCTATCTGTCTATCTATCTATCTATCTATCTATCTGTCTATCTGTCTATCTGTCTATCTATCTATCTATCTGTCTATTTGTCTATCTATCTATCTATCTATTTGTCTATCTATCTATCTATCTATCTATTTGTCTGTCTATCTATCTATCTGTCTATTTGTCTATCTGTCTGTCTGTCTATCTAGCTGTCTATTTGTCTATCTATCTATATCTAGCTATCTGTCTATCTATCTATATCTAGGTATCTGTCTACATATCTAATTGTCTATCTATCCATCTACTAACAACTAATTTTGGGGACTTTTTCACTATTTTTTCATCATAAAATGCTATTTTAAGTTTTTGATAAAGAACAAAATCTTATACATTTTACAAATTCTTATCTTGTGTAGAAACTGGTGCCAGACAGAGTGCAGAGAATATTGAAGTCAAATTGTTAGAATCAGAAAACTCGAAATTAAAAGATCAGCTGCTGTGTAAGATGTGTCACAAGTCGGAGATCAAGGATGTCTTCCTACCTTGTGGAGAATTGTACGCCTGTAGTGACTGTTCTAAATTGGTCACTCATTGTCCATCTTGCAAGAAACAAATCCTGGCTACAGTTACTGTCTACCTTACTTAGTACTAAACGTTTCAAACTATAAATTTATTTGGCACTAATTGGGTGTGACCCGCGCTTCGCGGGTCTTAGTTTGGATATCACTGATCTAGTGCCAAGTTCAATTATATTTTAGCCGACCTATTGATATCTAATCTAAAATACTGTGAAAAAAGGGTTTACCCGATTTGTTAGAAAGATGCGTTCTTTAATAGAGATAAATTTAGATTTTTATTTTGAAGGCCCTCCGGTTGTGGTAGGTACGTTAAACATACACTACCCTCTCCGTTAGGATCTAAGGAACATTTGTGCCAAGATTTATCAATATTGGTTTAACGGTTTTGATTTATATTTGGTGTTTGGGCTACAATTGATATATCTTTTTAACTCTTTTTAATTATTTGAGTGTTTAAAATTCAGTGTTTGAAGTGTTATTACATATTGTTTTCATTTTGGAAGTTTTGTTTCCTTTCTTGACTCACTTTAATGTGATCATTTTTTTTTTTTTTGCTTATATTTTAGAGCATTTTCACGTCTTTCACCTTTAGTCTATGTTTGCAGTGCAGATGTGTACACTAAAAGCAAGCTACATGAATCTGCTGCTACTTTTACACTTCTAAACATCCAAATAGCAATTCTATTTTGTATGCACTCATTGTAAAACAGCTCAGCATTTAAAGGGTTAAGATTCAATACCGAACACACGAGAACTGATATACAGTATGCAGTAACAACAAAAGTGATACAGTTGAAAAGAAAGAAATTTAAACAAAACATTTAGAAGAGAGGATTCCACATGAAATAATTGACCAAAGAAATAATTGACCAAAGAAATAATTGACAAAGAAATAATTGACAAAGAAATAATTGACAAAGAAATAATTGACAAAGAAATAATTGACCAAAGAAATAATTGACCAAAGAAATAATTGACAAAGAAATAATTGACAAAGAAATAATTGACAAAGAAATAATTGACAAAGAAATAATTGACAAAGAAATAATTGACAAAGAAATAATTGACAAAGAAATAATTGACAAAGAAATAATTGACAAAGAAATAATTGACAAAGAAATAATTGACAAAGAAATAATTGACAAAGAAATAATTGACAAAGAAATAATTGACAAAGAAATAATTGACAAAGAAATAATTGACAAAGAAATAATTGACAAAGAAATAATGTCTTGGAAGCCAGAGAGTAAGACCACTGTTACCAACTAAACTCTAAAAATTACTTTGTGGTACAAGGCAATTACTTTAAAAATTGGATAATACAGCGCTGGAATGAGCACACAAATTATGTTTTTTGTGAAATACTTTAACATTTACCTTCTACCTATCCCTTAATCTGTTGGGCCGTTGGGGCACCATGCAAGATTCGTCGACCGTCCTTCTCCATTCCTCTTAGTATATTGATTAAACCTCTTTCAATGGCAGGGCCGTCCATTTCTTTTATGTTGTCCTCCCATCGCTTTTTCTGTCTGCCTCTTCTTCTTTTTCCTGGTACTGTTCTTTGAAGGAAGGTCTTTGAGTGCCCGGAAGACCTTGTAATATGGCCATAGATTTTTAGCTTGCGTTTTATTGTTTACGATAGTTAGCAGGTCATTGTGGGGTTCAATCGCTGCAGTGGGCCCTGTCTCAAATCTCTTGGGTTATGATGCGGGTCTGATGTGATACCTTGGATCCTTCTGTCTATTTTGTTTATCGATATTTCGTTATCTGTACACCGGATACACCACACTGTAACACCGGATACACCACACCGTAACACCGGATACACCACACCGGATACACCACACCGTAACACCGGATACACCACACCGTAACACCGGATACACCACACCGTAACACCGGATACACCGTAAAGCTTCTTATTGTAAATTAGCACACATGTATGAGAATCCAATCCTTTGTGATTTAATATTGCTTTATTTTACATTTTTTAAATATAAATATTGTACTTCTATGGTTGGGCTTAAGTGTAATTATTATATTTGAGTCTATGGCTTCAACTTTATGTGTGTGTATTACTGTGTATGTGTATGATATTCTAATATGTATGCTTTGTCACATCTCGTTCAGAGATTTAAAAAGTGTATTTGTAATGTTTTATTATTTATTTCCTTGTTACTTTACTTTTTAGTCTTCTGTTGTGAAGGGTTTCTAAAGATGTTACTGTAACTAAATGTGTATGTCTGTGGCTATGAATGTAACTTCTCTATTCCGTGTTTTAAGAGTTTTTAGTTTGTGTGGCTGGTTTACTATAAATGAATATACATTGTATTTAATTCCTTTAAGAAGTATATTATTTTCTATAACAGACTTCATTTCTTATAAAACTATTGCACATATTAAAATAATCACGTTATTCACAGATAAGCATGTTGATATGTTGCTTGTGACTTATATCTGTAAACTTTTTAGAATTTATAAACATTGATATATGTTTGTGTATCGATTATATATATTATATATTATTATATATTGTTTAAACTATTTTCATTTATTTATGCTACAGTTTTTATAATTCTCAAAATCTTAGAAGTGTATAGCATAGATTTTAAGGCGTCTGATTATTACACAACGTCATGTAAACCATGTGATCTTATTCATTTATGTCTGTTTATAACAATCATTACTTTATATTTTCAGATATATACTCGTCCTCAGGCTATTGTATGCCTTCTTTGGATTTGTTTTATTATCTAGGTTTTTATTACAGTATTTGAATATGTTACACGTTTAATGATCAACCTAACTCAAAGTTATGAATTTTTTTGTTATCATTATCATTTATTTTTTTTTGGAATTACAATGCAACTAAATTTCACTTTTAAAATTAAGGGCAGCTATATGAATATACATTTTGTTTAGTTAATTTTAGCTATCAATATATGAATGCGATTTATGCATTGAAGAAGTGTTGATTATGCACTTATTTTTATTAGTGTCAATTTTTGTGGGATTACAATGCAACTTTTGTCACTGTTTTAATAAAGGCAGCTGTATGTATGCAAATTTTGTTCAGTTAACTTTAGCTTTTAGTATAAGAATGCGATTTATGCACCGGGTTGTTAAGCACATTTAGAACTAGTATTTTTATCGTCTCGTGATAGTATCTTTAAAAAACTCAGGTCGGTTGCACAATGAAAACATTGGGATTAAAAAGGTTGTTTCAGTTTCAGTATGCTTGTGTATGTGTATGTGTGTGTTTAACTAAACGTTTAAAAACATATAATTATAAATAACTGGTTTAATGTATCAAAAAGGAGCAAACAAGAACAAGGGAAAAAAACCTAAGTAAGGGAGACATTAGGAAAGAAATGCGACTGAGATGTTAAATTGTTTCAATATTATTTAATGTACAACGGTGACTATTTGATTGTTTTATTTAATTATCTGTTGTTAACATTTTCACTGTATATTTCGAAGTACTTTACATTTTAAAAATCTTTATTTTGTGCTATTATATAAACCTGATTGGTTTATTTTCTGTATACTTTTGTAAATCACTTTTTCTGTAGATATAGGTCCTCCATCTTGGATTCTTAGAGGGATTTAGTTGTGCAATAAAAAAGTTATCGTGGAGAATTGAATATTATTAACTGAAATTTTTAAATTATAATTCAGTTTGGAAAAGTTGATTTGAGGCAACATTTTTTTAACATTATTCTAAAATGACGTCATTATGATGTTCTGAACTTTTGCTGCTGTCTACTCCACGGTCATACTGGAAATGTTGGAACATATGCGTTTAAATTTTTTTTTCTTAATAACAATTTGTTTCATATAATTTCTTTTGTATTATCATTAATATAAAATAATTTGTTAACTGTTTTTAAATAAAATTTATTAAAAAAAAAAAAAAGAAAAAAATATATAAATGCCCCCAAAAAAGAGGCAAGAGAAAAAAAAAGGGGCCTAAGGCCCAAGGATTCTTATGACGATGAAAAAGCTAAAAATGAATAGCACACACACACGCACGCACACACACACACGCACACACATGCTGAGGTTTCCTAAACAAAACAAAAAGTTGTTTATTAGTTATACAGTATGTTATACGTATACATCTGTTGTACTTATTATAATAGATGTGGTTTGATATTCGCATTGACCTTATGTATTTTGAATACAACAAATGACGACGAGTACCTAAAGGTCTCTCTATGTATACAAACATAGGTTTCTCTTGTGCTATTAATAGGTGTTCGTGTTTCTAGTAGGTGTGTGGAATAATAAATAAATTAGGTGGATGAACAAAATGGTGTTCATATTTGCTAATGTAAATCTTTATTTTATCTTATAAAATACAGACGTTACTTCGAAAAAGATGATAACGTCCTATGCGTCATGCATCTAGCCATGACTTAAATTCAGCCAAGTCACTGGTTTTCATGTTTGGCTAAGGCAACCCATTCCATGCTCTACTAGCACTAGGGAAGAAGAAGCATTTGTAGACATTTGTTCTAGCATATAGAACATCGGTGTATCCATTTCCATCTTTGTGTATTTCAGAAAATTTTTAAATTTTTTTTTTTTTGTATTTGAAGATTTTGGTTCAGTGCTTTATGCATAATTGCTACTTTACTTTTCTATACGTATAAGATACTGACGACACTAAAAAAGCCAACATAATGTAAAAACTAAATATAGACTATTATAAAGGGAAAAAGATATTTTCACATTAACACGAGATCCCAATCACTTAACATTTCTTTTCTAGGAACGATTTACTGGGCAATATTTTGTGTTACCTAAACGTTACATTTAAATTGTAGTTTCCACTATAGAACAAAAAAAAAAGTTTTTTTCGTTCTTCATGTTACTATAATTCATGTTGCTGTATCCAATATCAGAATTTATTAAGAAAGAAAATTTATAAGGTTCGAACTCTACACATTTGGAGATCAGCCATACCATCTAATCACACCAGTAATCAGTTATTTATATAAGATCTCTATCTGATCATTCTTTTATCTAACTATATCAGACATTGGCTAACATGCATGAGTAGATCATCGTAATCATCTTCTTTTTTTTAAAGTAACGTCTGTATTTTATAAGATAACTCAAATCTAGCTTATTAGGCGCGGTGACTAAGTGGTAAAGCGCTTGGCTTTGGAACCGTGTCCTGGTTCCAATCCTGGTGAGGACTGAGCTTTTTAATTCCGTAGATCTTTAGGGCACCTTGACATTTAGCTGTAGAAAAGCAAAGGCGATATGTTGTTGTGCTTGACACAGGACACCCTCGTCAACCGTGGGCGACAGAAACACGACCCTTATCTGCCCCATAGATCGCAAAGTCTGAAAAGGAAACTTAAATCAAACGTATAATATTATAATAATATTGTTCTAGTTTGAATAATGCTATTTGTTGATAGCAGAGGAAATAGCCGAAATGTAGAACATTTGTCGAGAGGCTAAATACACTTGACTTGCCTTGGCTAACTATGAAGGGGTCTCGAGGTTCGACACCCGACTCGAGTACCGACTCGAGCAGACTTGTGTTTACTGAGCGCCTAAAGGCAGCACGGAAAACCTCCCTGAACACTGATGGTGCGCATGAGAGCACCATTCAAGACACGTAAAAGACGTATTGATTCAAGAGGAAGGCTTGGTTTAGATCCGGCTGAAGTGATCTTCAGGTTATAGGTGTCTGCACTATCTGGGGCTAAGAGGCTTTGAGCTACCAGAGAACTGTATTAAGGACCTGGGGTGACACTGGGAAGTGTGTCGGTGGTCTGTACTAGTGTTTAGGTAAAAAAGGACTGGTGGAACTTAAGACTCCCTGTGATTTGATAGCTGAAATCCATGTCTAAAATTGTATTTTATAGCTGTAAATAAATACATCGTCAATTATTACCTTCTTTCGTTGAGTGCTTGCCTTAGATTTATGAAAACTAAACTAAAATGAAGTAGTCCCTTTAATGCTGAATATCTTTAAAGCAGATGATGTAAAGCTCCTATGTTTCTATGGCCTATGGGTGTACGAGGAAGTCATGTGATAAGCACAACGACCAACCGCCCTATTCTCCCCCAACTAATATCAGGTAATCACCCATTAGAGCTGTATGGACTCAGGTGCGTTCTGGAAATCCCGAAATTAAAAATCCTAGTCTTCAAAGAGACTCAAACACGAGACCATTCGTTCGGAAGCCAAGCCCTTACCCTTCAGCCACAACGCAGACAAAGCCTTTATACATAATGTTTTCAGAGACTGAAAAAGATGTGTGTAACTCAGTTAATGGCTGTCAGGACATGTTACCTTACAAACCAGTTTTATCTACATTCAAAACAATAACACAGAAGTACTAAACCTGTTTTTTCTTAAAGTAAAGTTTTTCTATGCTACAACAAGAACTCAAAACCACAGTCACAATCATTCATAAATATTGTCTAAAAGAAACAAATAAACAAGCTACACGCATTTATATTTTTATTTTACTTCAATTACTAAAGAATGTTAAAAAGCTAATCCTAAAATCACAGGAAACAAAGTTTTACATTAGAGGCACTGCTGCCACATTTCTCGCTGAAGAAATGGAGAAGGCATCTTTGTAATTAAAATCACTCAAGAAAGTTGGCAAAACAAACAGCAACTCTAAGTAGAAAGTTGTTTGTTAATAAGTCACGAGGAACATGGTAGAAAAATTGGAATATGGCCGCCCCCAAGCAAAAATAATGCACACAATGAATGTGTAAATCTTACATTTACCTGCTGGTTAAATTTTTTTTTACTAAATTTCTATGAAAACAACAATAATAATATAATTAAATCTACAAAATAAACTATAGGGTTATTCGCAGAACTTTTTTTATGTTTATTATGCCTGTGATTACGTTTTGATGGCAGGTGGATTTGTTTTCAGTGACACGAGCAGAATAAAGTGATTTCATCATCATCATCTCTTCCTGTTCTCCCTTCTGGGGCATAGGCCACCAACCAGCTTCCCCCTGGCGTCTCGGTTCTGGGCGAGTTTCTCCAATTTGCCCATCTGCTTCCAAATCGCGGCACCATGTATTAGTGAGCCGTCCCCTCTTCCTCTTTCCTTGGGGGTTTCTGGTGAAGGGGTTGTCTTGGAATGTTGGATGCAGGCTTGCCAAGAGTGTGACCCCTCCATCTCCAGCGTCTCTGACGGATATCTACTTCCGTTGGCCTTTGCTTTGCTCTTCACCAAAAGTTTCTCATAATATTTAGCAACGCTATAAATAACTCTGCATGTTATGAAAATGCATTGCAGTGTGCTATAAATATTTATATAACATATCAAGTAACAAGCAATTCAAAAAAACAACAACTTTAAAACACCGGAATTCTCTAAATAATACAATATAGGAACATTATAATTTTTTAAGTTTCATATAGAGAATTCCGATACCATATGTATCGAAACTAGTTACATACAATACAATGTGCACATAGATCTACAAATGTTTCCCTTTTACACTTTTTGACCTATGGGCGGAGACATATGATGCAAAGGGGGTCAGATCCTGCATGTTAATTATTTTATAGCCTCACAGGTGACACCACTGAAATTGTACAGTTAAATGTTAAAAAAATGGATTGCATTGCATTGACAACTTATACATAATATCAATTTAAAAAGTCATTCAGGATTTTGGTTTTCAAGATATGTTCGTAGTTACACAATTCGGACGGACGGACAGACATTCCACACAAAAACAATAGCGTCTTTTCCCCCTTTTTAAAAACTGTTTCTGTTTAATGAAAGATGAGCTACACAATCGCTGAAGGGGGGATGTGAGCGGTCAGGGTTTGAACCCGAGACCATCGATAAATCCGAACGACAGTCCAGCGCGCAAACCGCACGACCAGGCAGCCAACCAGTATATAGGTAGGGAGTATAAGAAGAACTACTAGTCCATGCTGTTGAGTCATTAAAACAATATAAGACTGTAACACATCACACAAAATCTTGTCATTTTATTTAGAATGTGTACATAGTGTACACTTTATTTGACACCTTTTAAGAATTCCGCTCTTAAAACTTGCCATCTATTAAGGCAGATGATGTAAAGGTTATCTCTTTGTGTGGCATGCGGTTAACGAGTATGTTATGTGGCAAGTACAACGACTTTTACTTTTCCCCAATGTTAGGTACCCATAAGAACTAGGTTGATTCAGAGGTGCCCTAAAGATCATGAAATAAAAAATCCCAGTATTCACCGAGATTTGAAACTGGGACCTCCGTTTCTTAAGCCAAGCGCTTTACCCTTAAGCCACTGCATCTCCTATTTGTACGTACATTTGTATTAATCTCCTTTCTTGTAGGCTATAATCCACATTTAATTACAAAAATCACTAATGAGAATTGAAAACAAATTACAACTTTTGACATTATTTTACGTGTGACACTTTAAAGCCTGTCTCCAAATTTCTTCCAAGATGAAGCCATATGTCCATTTTGTAATTGGAGCCTGATGGGTTTTGACGATTCCTAAAGGTTATCATTGATGCACCGAGACTTCCTGGACATGTGAAGACTTGATGTTCTAGACATTTACGGGGTCTATCTCCTGTGTGCAAGAATGAATCAAATCAAATATTACATTACGTCATTAAAAAAAACAAATCAAAACAACAACTCATCATTCAAGCTTATAACATATGCTGGAAACTTAATTCTTACATTTTTAATGAATGAAAAGCCTTTTTAATATCTAAATATTCCTAACCATCTGTATAACTATTATATATAACAAATAATCCTAATCAACCAATAAATCCCCATAACGAAGAAACAGGAACGTACTAATTAATAGTAG